CAAAAAGACCGGAGGCGGGAAGATTGTAGGTGACTTGCATGGCGAAAAACTGCATATGGGGACCTTTGACGGTCCTTTGACGCACTTGTTGTCAAGGGGAACATGCTGCCGAATTTCCCTAACTTGCTCGATACGATCTTCCCCGACATCTAATTCACGGGGGAGAAAGAGACGTAGCTGCGGCTATTCTTCCCTGATGTGCACACCAGGCGAATTCCCAACAATTTACACGATCGCAACGAACACCACGCAGCTTCTCGGTTTTCGCAACGACCATCCAGTGGCTCATAAAAGAGGCTATGCAATAACACCCTTCAGGCAAGTCCATTCTCACCACAGCAAAGCCCACAAGTCAAAGTGGAACGGTTATTCGAATATCCTCTTAACCCGATGCCGTTATGTTCGTCCCCTCCCCAGACGACCCAACTGGAAACAGCCCCGATGATATGGTGTGCTTTGTCATACACATAGGGCGATTCAGAGGTGATCGAACGTATTGGAGCGGAACTACCATGGGCAGCAAAGTTATGAGAATCAAAGGCCGATTAAATCCGGGGAAGCAGTAAGGTCTAGTGTATCGCCTGTCCTATTGCTATTTTATGGACTCCCGCACGAGTTCGAAAACTCTGAAAAATAAACAAATGGTTCCGGTGTTCCTTACTCAACTTAAAATATATTCCATTAAAGCACACAGGTAAATATTCCTCCCTATGCATATTGGGTAGCAAGTTAAGGTTGCTTTCAATTCTATACTGAAAGGCACTATATTTCTTTGGAATGTCCACCCTACGATTACCATGTCCGTCCGAGCTGACAATGGATACAACAAGGTCAACATTCATTGCAGAATTTTATGAGCCCTATATGACCTCATCTTAGTGACGTAGATGAATGTAAGACTTTCCCTACGCAGAGGGTATGCAACAGGTAGTTTGAAAAGCCTAGTCGCTGCTGCAACTTCAGGTCGGGTCGAAAATTAATAAGGTTTTTCAAGTCTAGGAATTAAGAGGGACCATGAATACATGATTTAAATGGCTATCTTCCTTGTGTGGAAGATTCAAATAGTCTTTTCAGAAAATGTGCCTTGTACATATTGGAGACGCTAACGTTTTGGATAAGCATCTTTTGCGTTTTTTGAAGGATGTGAAAATATGGACCTTTCCTTGTTTAACTGTCTCGTGAGCATGTTATAAATTTTTTCCGTATTTAGGTGTATGCTGAAACTAGATCTGCCTCGGCAGATTGTCCACTTATGTCGCCATTAGCCCAAATTATGCATTGGCAAACGCGAATCAACAAGAATTAGCCTAAAAATCCATGTCGTGGGACGTGGGATAATGAACGCCTGAAAGCACAACTGGGTTATTGCCCGACAGGGTTATCGCCGTTTGTGGAATCGATCGTCGCAATTAGCGACATCCACTGTGTGATACACAGAGTGGGCACAGTGCGGTGACTGGCTCGCGAATTAGTTTATAAATAGTGAGGCAGACTTACGAAGCATCTACCGCACACTCACCTGCCTCATTTTTTGGCTCCGGGGACAATACAATGTCAGGGGGACCGGAAGTAGGCTCGGGCGCAGTGGCTGACAAGCTTAGACAACCCGTTTACGCTTAGCACGCACGACCTGCTCCCCGCAAAATGGACCCATTTCTTCGCCGAAACGGGTGAGAACGTCAGCGCTCACGCAATACTAATCATGAGGACCGTCCACAGCTTCCCCCCTCAGTCTGTCTTGTTTATCTTCTGTTTATAAGCACTCCCTTAACTGTGCAGATCTGCAACACTACTCATAACTCCAGCTAACGCCAGCCCACTCAGCCAACAACTCGCTGCTTCGTAATTTGTCCCCGCAGACACGCATTATCCAATCAGAAGAGCAACAGTCTGTCCTCGCGGATGGGAAAAACGGGCGCTTGAAGAACCAGCCAATCAGGTAGCAGCGACCTCCGCTCAATTATTTAAGCTGTATGCTGTAGAGGGACAGGTTCTGCCGCAAACAGCTGCCCCTAAACGAGTTGACGACAGTTCTCAGGACCGAATACATGATGTCCTTTATCTGCACCGCGATGAATCTGTCAAAGAATAAAAGTGAGCCGTGTACGGACAGAGAGCAGCGCAGTATGCGGCCAATCAAATTCAGTGCCGCGAATGCGCGAATTTTGGCTAAACTGGCTGTTAGTCGAAGCAAGGAGGGCCGGAGACTGACAGAAATGCAAACTCCCCACCAGTTCAACACGATTACAGAAGAGGAATTGCAGAGCATCCGTTTGAAGATAAACATGAGAGAACGTCAACGGATGCAGGACTTGAACCGAGCGATGGATGAACTTCGGTGAGTACGCCCGAAACCCCTCGCATCGTAGCCACACTAAGTTGTAAATGTAAGACATGAAAGAAATATACTGGTTTTACTGTGGATTGGAATGTTGGCTGCGTTACGTAGGTCCAAACGACAAAGTTGTTTTACGAAGCTAGGGGGCTATAGTGTGTACATGGCAAACAGGACAATGCCGGACACGGCAGAATATCGCGAAACACGTATCTGGACTTTTAGCTAGTACCCCTGTCAGGAGTGCGGTATAATACATTTGTCATGTAGATTTCATACAACTTGTTCCTAGAATAGCCGTTGCATGGTTACTCCACAGTCTCTCCGACTGTCTTCGACTCGAAGTTTCATTGAGATTTCGGATCTGACCAAAAACAGTCATTTCCCGGAGACTTAACTCCATGTCCTGAACAGAATAATTTTTGAAATAGCTAGCCTGAATGCTCTCTGGAGTCCGTATATCAGAAACCACATAGAGGACGCTGGAGGACCCGCTGAGATGTTGAAAACCTCGCAGCTGGGTCATGCAACGGTACAATGTAGGCGGAACATGTGTCTCGGCTTTTGGCTAGTATATATTTCGGGAGTACGGTATAACACATTTGTCATAGATAGTGCATGTACAAAACTGGCGTTGACACTCATACGATGTTACCTTTCTGTTTATGCGATTCACTCTTCAGCACCGTAATGCCCTATGAGTGCAAGCCACAGGGCCGCAAACTATCGAAGATTGCCACCTTGGAACTGGCCAGACAGTTCATCCTCCAAGTACTTCAAGAAAAGCACCAACTGGAGGTAAAGCTTCAGGAGATCGTGATTGCTTTTAACCTGATCAACTCGCGATGCCAGTACTATCACCACCAACAGGATCCATCCTTGGCCGGGGGATATCATTCGTCTGTTCGTCGCGGCTCTTCATTGGACATGCCTCCGGACAGGATATCGATTGTGCCAGCTGGAACCTCGGAGGCATCATCCAGCTTACATTCCACATGTTCCTCCCTCCCCTCACCATTCTCCTCCTCATCTCCGGTGGGGGAAAGGGGGGTGGAACGAGGAGTGCTGGACCCAAAATCTGTCGCCTTCCACCCCTTCCCCAGACTCCATGTGGAATATCCTTCCTCCGCGACCACAGACGCCGACTGATGAGAACGATCGACTGCCAGGCAGCTCACAGGAATTTCGTACAAACACATCGGATATGTGGCGAGTAGAAATATAATTATATCGAAAAACAAGACTCGAACATACGCTCTTAACCACTTCAGGAGAAATCTTAATTCCTCTTATTAGCATTATGAATTCCGAGGTGTGTGTTTGAAGGGTGAGTGACGCCCAAGAAAGCTTTAAAAGTAGCACCTGGCCTTATATGCTGGAAAGTTTGACTTAACAGCGCATGTTTGATTTGAGTATTAAGGATAACCAAGCAATTGGGATGGGTGTGTTTTCAGTGACAAACCAAGAATAAACAATATTCATTTTAGTCTTAGATTGGGAGGCCAGAAGTTGGTGTTTATTGTCCTTATTCGCAAACCCTTTGAGTATTTATCGATCGGCGCTACATCGAGACAGAAACTCTGAGACGACGTACTTTGTCCTTCAGGCAGTACCGTTTTGTGACCTCCAACCATGAAAACTCGTGTCTTTTATAAAAACCCAAGTGGGAATAAAGTCCTGAAGGCCACCTTAGACGGTGAAGGAGTACCTCCGGCTCAAACTTTTCTCAAGTTGATATATCATCGACTTTGGGAGGGGGGGGGTTGGTAAAAGGATTCAACACCAAACTAATATGAGTTAGGGTGAGAGGGGTAAGAGCGCATAACACAGTCGAGGAGCTTTTATGGTCTTTTCCCCTCGACTGGTGATAGTTCTTACGAGGCCAAAATGAACCCGGCCCTCAACCTTGGGTCTTCATTGACGCAGAGTACGTCGGGAGCCCGATTGGGTTTCCAGAAGTTCTGTTTCCCTAGACGGGTTAACATAGGCTGCCTCAAGTACGCGGTTATTCAATTTTTGAACTCCCTTGGATTAGTTAGACACAAGATCGGTACTTTTTTCAGTAAGATCAGGCATAAATAGCACCGACTCCTTTGCTTGTATTGTGTCCAAATTGTCTCAGCTAGAAATGTAAAGCGATCAAGACTTGTAATAAGGGCAGGGTGTATTAAATAGGATGATCCGCGGACCGACCGGGTTGTGAAAACAATTTTCTGTTTACGCGGTGAGGTATATTCATACGCGGGAAAATTTAATTGAACAGTATCCGTTTGAGTTGGGGATAAGGGGTGGAAAAGTAACTTGGAGGGGTGTCTTACCAAAGACAAATCCAGAACACACTGCCCGTTTCACTGCCTCCACTCCGAAAAATGGGAGGAAATAAAAGACTGAAGACCACTTTCAACAGTGAAAATACTTGGGATTTTTGAAATGGCATCTCCTAATCAAACGTCTTAAGATGACTTTTCGTGCTAGTTGGTAGAGCATCGATTTGGGGGGGGGACTGTGAAAGGATTCTACGCTCAGGAAGTCTAAGTTAAAATGGGACGAGTCAAGAGCTGCACAGCACAGAGAAGGAGCTATTCTGACACCCCCCCCCCCCGAGTGGTGATGGTTCATCCAATGTCAAAATGAACCCGACCCTCAATCTTGAGCACGCGGTTGGGTTGGCGAAGACTTTGGTTCCCTAGGCAGGCTAGTACAGGCAGCCTCATTTACGTCCTTATTACATTGTTTGGCCTCCTCACCTGAATTAGCTAAACACAAGATCAAATGTAGCAAGAAAATAAGGAATGACTAGCACCGACTCCTATGATTGTACTGTGTTGAAAGCGTCTCAGTGAGGATAATAGGGTTATCGGGTCTTATAACACAGGTAAGACGCATCAAATAGGTCGACGATCCGCAGATCGACTGGCTTGTGCAAGCCATTTTCCTGTCTATGCGGTGAGGTATATTTATCTTGAATAATGTACAAATCCATACCTCTAGTTCGTCAATCGATGGCAATGGAGAAAATGTAGGAAAACATAGCCTTCCTGTTGATCTAACTTATAGCGCGTCAACCGGTGTTTCGAAAACTTTATACGGGAAGGAGTGCCTGTAAAGACACGGGGGACTGGGGTGGGCAGTTGTGGATTGTAAGCCAGCCGTATCCAGTCACAGGTTCGAATTCGAAACCGCATTTTCCAATCCTTGGGCATTTCTAAGCCCCACTGGTTTACAGTTGAGTCGCGCAACCGTTCTCCTGCTGGCTGTGATCGGGAATATTAACTATCTTTGGAGGGAGCTTGATTGAATGGTCCTGAATATTAACTAGATGCTAGGGCATTTTCAGTACAGAAAGACCCCTCCTCCTCCTCCTCCTCCTCCTCTTTCCCCACCTGAGCTGGGTATCAAGACAGAGTCGAATAAGATGAAATAACAGTTCGCCGTCAAATCCCAGGTCAACTTCTGGCTTCGTTCTTGACACTTTTACTGTTATTCCGTTTTACCTAAAGGTGAATTTTTCGGTAAGATGTGGCTATGTAGCCCCACCTGATGGACGCAATGCATTTGGGGTTAGGGTTTAGAGTTAGGGGCTAATGCTAGGGGTTAGAGTTAGGGGTTGTGGTCGAGGTTAGTATTAGGTCAACTATTTCTCGACCACTGAAAGAACAACCGAGCATATTCAAAGGCTTTTCTTTTGTATACAACTACTTGACCTGGTAGCCGCACAGCAGTGAGAATGTGTGCAGTCTGTGAGCTACAATCATCAAGTCAAATCCCATGTTGGAAGAAGAAGACAAAAGGCACCAGAATTAGGGGTTTATTGTGCACTGAACACCGGAGAAGCCAGAGCTGGTGTTGACTGCGTCCAGTCATGCCTGAGAGTCCCTGAGATAGTGGTGGCAGCCGCTTTTGTAGGCTTGTGGGCCAAGCTCAAGTGGTGGCCAGTCTGCGTGCGTTGCATTTGCCGAGGGGTGGTGTCCCAGTGGCTTAGGTTGCGGTTGCAGGGGGGAGGTACGTTCAAGTGGTCGCATGGACAGCTGCGGCTGTGCGGACGCAGCTTGCTCGAGCTGAAGTCGGTCGTGTGATTTCAGGTCAGCGCGTCTGGAAAGGCTCACTGCAAAAGGGTCGATGACCGTGAGGCAGCGAGGTCTTGAACAATGACGCCAGACCGGTCATGATGGCTGCCCGCGACAACCTGCGCGTTCCCCGGCCCTACCTCTAAAAACCCCTATTACCACCGTTCCCGTATTACAAGCGGGGCTACATAACCGTACCTTATTTCACTCACGTACGCCCTCACGCACTCACTAAAGAATGGCACTTACACTAAGACGTGACAAAGTCTGATGACAACACTGTGACTCAGTAAGCAAGTGGTCGGTTCTTCTTGCAACTACCGACTAAGTATTTGCACTTAAATCCGTTGACCAACCTGAAGATCAGAGTACTTGACTTACACCGAACTCCTGAATCTTCGGTTCACGCAATTTTTTTGCACGGGCAACCACGACGGCGGTCATGTTAACTGACCGACTGGCACATTTTGCCAGAGGGCCGGATGGTAAGTAAGCAAACTGACCTCTTTGGGATGGGGCAAAGAACTGCGCATCACGATAGTTCGACCATCGCATCCAGCTATGCGTGAATTAGTTTATATTTGTAGTAGACTTGTACAGCATCTACCGCACTCTCTCCTCCTCCCCACCTGAGCCCGGTGTCAAGACAGAGTCAAGAAGACCGGAGATGAGGGAGGCCGCAGGTGGATGGCTTGGACGGATCCGCACCTTGGCGCTCCACCCCTCACTCCCTGGTCCACACAACAAATGACCAGGATTTTGGCCGAAAAAACAATGGGGGGAGGGGGATGGCAATGGTCCCAGTTTGTGCGACAGGGTCTGCCAACGCACCCCTAAATGTTGGCAGTTGATATTGCGCAAGATGACGCCTGCCAGAATCCGATGTGGCCCCCGTCTTGCTTCAGCGCATCTACCACGTGGCCCGTTTTGGGGACAAACACACAAACAAGGATGTGAGTGCCGTTATTGCACGGATAAAACAGGGACAAACTAGATGACTGTTGTTGCGACATTATCTTTTTTTCCGAGGTGCATTTGCTAGACCGTGGTTCTCGCTATCTCAGGATGCCCGCTGACTTGTAATTTCGCCTACCCTATTAGAACGCTATTACTGACTTCTCTTATCAACACGATATCGCCGAGCATCGTTCTGGGTGCTACTGAAGCCTGCACTTGTTCATATTTTTGATGTTGCTATCAGCATCATAGTTGGTGCACTGGATGTCAATGACAGACAAAAAAAAGCTTTCTGTTACAAACTTTAGACTGTAGTTAAGTGTTCCCCAAAGAGTGTCCTTCTTGGAGTTGTGAGTGACTGGAACACCGGGACAGGAACGTTTTGACTAAAGGACGTGAGTTCGAATCTCGCGTCTTGCAAACCTGGGACGGGGTATAGGTGGGAGGGCTTACGACGACAAACAAATCAGGAATGGCCTACTCGGCCCCCGACTTGTCATTGTCGATACCCCTTTTAACAATGGGAAGCCGTTGCCTGAGTCTTAAATGGCTTACTGATTTCGCCGCAATGGACAACTTACTTGTCGCAAACATGCAACATAGATAGCAACTAAAAAAAGTCATGCCGCGGAGACTTGACACCATGTCCTGCACTGGATAAAATTATTCGCTTGACAAAGCTCTCTATCTGAAGTCTCTCTACTGTTATTTTCTGACCTGAGGCCTGTGCTCTCAATTCACTGAATGGTGGCGACAAATAATATTGGATAACAGTTCGCCGTCAAATTCCAGATCAAATTCGGACTTGGTTCTAGACACTTGTAGTGAGATTCCCTTTTGCATGAAGGTGAGTTTTTCGGTAAGGTAGCCCCACCTGATGGACACAATACAGTTGGGGTTTGGTTAGGGGTTATGGATAGGGATTGGGGTTCGAGGTTAGGGTTAGGGCAACTATTTCTCGACCACTCAAAGTACAGACGCGCATTCCCAATAACTTTTCTTTTGTATACAACTATTTGACCTCGTCGCCTGCGCGTTCCCCGGCGCCACCCCTAAAAACTCCTATTACCGCCGATCCCGTATTACAGGCGGCTGGGGTTTGTTTATTTCAGGTGGCGCTGCATAATCGTACCTGACCAATTTTTCATAAAAGTTAGCTATACTACCCTCTCCTTATCATTCATTCGCGTGTTCACTCACTACCTAAGGAAGGGTACTTACACTTGTCCATAGTGATGGCGATCGTCAAAGGCCTTGCCTTCTTCTTCTTCTTCTTCTTCTTCTTCTTCTTCTTCTTCTTCTTCTTCTTCTTCTTCTTCTTCTGCTTCTTCTTCTTCTTCTTCTTCTTCTTCTTCTTCTGCTTCTTCTTCTTCTTCTTCTTCTTCTTCTTCTTCTTCTTCGTCTTCTTTTCTACGTTAAAGGCCTTGCCTTCTTCTTCTTCTTCTTCTTCTTCTTTTCTTCTTCTTCTTCGTCGTCGTCTTCTTTTCTCCCTCTCCCTCTTCTTCTTCTTCTTCTTCTTCTTCTTCCCCTCCCTCTTCTTTATTACGCTTAGATCCTTAATACTTCTGTCGCCTCTTCGCGAACGCGTGGCATGCTGTCGGCAGACCCTACCACCCCTCCCCTCCCCTCCCGCCCTCCCCTCCCCGCCCTCCCCCGCCGGATGTCTGGGCCTGTTGCGCTGATCCGGCTGTGCAGGCGGCTTGCGCACTCACACAAATGTACACTGGGTGGTGCCCCGTGTCGCTGACAACCACAGCCGCAGGGCACCGGGTCAAGGAGGAAAATTGGGGCTCTAATTAGCCCTGCACCCCCTCCCTTCCTCCCACTCCCTCTCAGCGCTGAGCCATCAAAGCCAGGTAGACCTGACTCATGGCGGTTTCAAATGTCACCTCTCGTCTCATCATCATCATCCTCCTCCTCCTCCTCCTCCTCCTCAGCGCGGAGTATGTGTGGAGACGGCAGGAATCATAATCAAGAGCAGAAGTCGCTGAAAGAAAACACCCTTCACTCCTCCCCCCCCCCACCGCCCAATAATTGCAGGTTGACTGTCGGTTGACCCGCAGGCGGGCTTCACCAGCCGAGCCCCCTGAGAACGGTGATGCCATGTGGGCATAGACGGGCGAATGTAAGGGCATCTACCTGCATTGGGGGGGGGGGGATGGGGGGGAGGGGTGCAATGGAACAGTAGCCGCTGTGCGACGCGCAAACATCAGCAGAAATCAGGTTGCCTACCAGGACGTAACTTGTCATGCCTAGGAGTGCCTGGCCGCTTTAAGTAAACATGTATGGAAACCGTTCCTTCAAACAGACTTACTAGAATTTGGAAGAAATAGATGCCATAGGTGGGACAAGAATGCTTCTATTCTCCTGACACTTCGGATTACTGCCCGAATTCATTATCAAACACTGTGGTAGATAAGCGTCTATACCGGGACAGGAAACGGGACTCCGTAGCCTTCCCTGCTTTCAGAAATACCCTTTTGGAGGATTTCAGAGAGACGCTTAGGTTGACTGAAAAGCGCCATTTTTGCGTTTCCCGCTGTTAAACTGGAATTCCTGACGCGAGTTTCAGGAAGCAGTCCAGAACGCTAAAACGAGATCGCTAGAACATGAACAAGTTTATTCCTCCGACGTTTCGAAGTCATCGTCATGAGCAGCCAATTTTCATAAGTATGCGATAGCATGACAAACGCGTCCTAGAACTCCGTGGACACCAACTACCCTTATCCGATGTCGTCTCTGATGATGGGTTCGAGTGCGAATTTTGGACGTCCGGGTCAATAAAAAAAAGAGGTGAGTACAGTCCATGAGATCGCCGCAGTGACAAGAGGACGTGATCATAGATGGTTTAGAACCCCACTGGCAACAGATTTCATGTCCCAGCCCGCCTGCCTGCACTTGTCGACGACTGTGTCGTGTGAAATTGCTAAACAACCTACAGGGCCTTTGGCTCCTTTAGAATCATTGAGCGAGTGTGTACGTTTTAGATAGGTTTGAGTTAGCCCTAGATCGAAAGAAATGCTCATACATTTTGCTCGTATCAGCCGTCTGCAAATGTACATCTTGGTAACAAGTCGTTGAATGATTTGCCCGTGATTGTTAGAAATCTGTCTGAGTAGAAGATATCGAGGAGAATGTGCATTAATGCAGGTGGAATACTAGCGGAGACGAAGGAGGCGGGAATTGACCAATCCAAACCGGAACAGGGAAACCCTGCGGTCTGAGCTCACTTCCAGTTGGCTACAGGACTGGGATCTAGATCGGAGCTGCGAGACAGAACAGAATGAGCATGCTCCTTCCTGCTATCGAATGACATGATAGAATTTCCTTTGACCGCCTTCACATGTGTCGGGAAAATGCGCACGAAAAATTGCCTAATGGCTTCCAGTATCTAATTGTTGGTGTTCTGCACAGATTTGCTTTTCGACTCGGTAATAGCAAAGGCAATTTCCTTAAAAACAAAAATCATGCTTCAGAGCTCACATAACTCCTCAGTAACGTCTTCTGTCTCACCAGCAACTTTGGTAGCTGGACAACATTTGCCGCCTCTATGAAACAATAAATGTCCAATGCTTTGACTTCCACTACGAAAGTCCAGAGATTTCCCGAATTTTCAGAAACGAGTGCCATTGCATCTTTTTATCGACGAATTCGAATGTGGTCAAAGCAGCAATTGGACTGGGCTACCTTCTGACCCATCGGAGATAAGGCGGATCTTCGTAACTGCTCAAAGAGGTGCTTTCATCGGGTTGAGAATAAACGTGACAGTCTGCGAGAGAGGATCCGGAACGCAACAGCCTCTGTTCTCCACTGGAGAATGTAAGGACTTTTAATTATCTGCATATGGCTCCGAGTATTGACTTGATTAGAGGGACTCTCATATGTGGCTGGCTCACATTCTTGGGCCAACCTAGGGAGCGCTTACAGTTTTAATGATATTTTTGGAGTTTACAGCAGTTTGCTTCCAATAACACCCTACCCGAACTCGACTGAAACGCGATGCCAACGGTTTAGTGCAGAAATTTCACGCGACATGACTTGTATACGCCTTTCGATATGTTTCGCAACAGATGCATGCAACTTCTGCATAGTAGTAGATTCAAGACTCTTCTCGCTGTTTATTCTTCCTCTTTTTTCCCTTTGCTAACTCTTCCTCTCTCCACCGAGGTCAGGGAAAATTCGAAATTCGCGGCGCGTTTCAGCTTAAGAGAATGCTCCAAAGGTCCTGACAGAATGATTAGGATGCATCAGGAAGCCTGGATCCGTATACTTAAGGAAATATAAGTGCTCTTCACGCCAGCAGTCCTGAGTCCCAGGTCTAATGAGCGAGTTAATTCGAGGCTGGCAGACACACTTCGAACGTCAACTCCACTCTATCGCACCCGCAGGCCCGTACGATGCAGCCGGGAAAAAAACAGAACCCAGCAATTAACTGGAGGTGGGATCCAGAGTAACGATTGATGCGGAAAACCTGCCGAAAGGTGGGCACAGAGGAGGGCAACTTTTGGACTTAAGACGATACTTTCGAATGAACCCAAACATGCCTTATCAACTCTAATCTCGCGCGTTGTCGTCGCCACCGCCGCCACCACCACCACCACCGCCCATGGGCTTTTAGCTAATACCTGTGTTGTTAGTACGGTAAATCAATGCACAGTCCTATACTACTGGCTGCCTGTTGGCGGTTTGTGAATATTAAGCGGTTATTCCGCAGTAGCTGATGGATTTCAGCTCAAATACTCATATCAAACTTTAGATCGTGCCTAAAAAGGCCCATTTCGAAAGATTTACTCCAAGTTCGCGCATTAATTTCCTCGGAAATTAAGCAAGGCATGCTTGATAATGTTCTTTTCATCGTACAAAATATACATTAGAACAAAAAACTATGACGAGAACGGGCCTTAACAGGGCAGTAACTTGGGAGGGGGAGGAGGGAGGGAGAAGAGAGGACGAGTAGAGAGGAGATCCAAACTTAGTTGGAAAGAGCTGAGAACGGCTGTTCTTGCCGACTAATGACCGATGGATGTGTCGAGCCGGAGATGCTAGGACCTGAATGATCGTCCGGTGGTAACTGCCAAGGCGGTGGGAATTGTGACGGGGGAAGACGATGCTCGTCAGGCAATGTCTCGTCCTGCACCAAGAAGACATCCCACCCCGACCTAGGGAACAGAAGCAGGCCAGAGTTAAGCAAGCCGAAAAGACCAGAGCATCCATGTCAGATCACTAGGTAACGAATGAGAAGGGTGATGTAGACCGACAAGGGAATGTGTAAAACAAGTAAATCAAGCCAACATTTGGTTTCGTGTATTCTTATTTACAGTCTAACCAATATACGTGTACCTAGCAATTGACAAGAGATTAACCCCAGGGTTGCAATCCAACTAACAAAACATACTACTCACTACATACAAGCAACATCTTTATATGTTATAAAACGATGATGGCAAGCGGGCCTGATAAGGAGGCGGGCCCATATGCTGTCCGATCAGTAAGAATTACTGACAAAATCTTTACGGTCATGTTGTCCAGAGACGAGCAAGCTGGCGGGCGGACAGAATGCGATCGAATGAGATCCTAACCACAGAAGTGAGGGTCATACGCTCACTTGACATTCCTTTTTCTTCAAGCGTGTGCATACCGTTTTCATTTTCCGGACCTCATTAGTTATCATGAACATTGTGATCAGTTCATATCATAGGAGGAAAAAATCAGGTTCATACGCTAAAAGAGACAAGCGTCCACGAGTGAACAACAAGGGGACAAACTACACTTCAGTTTCAGAAGCCCATCCAGGCTTCGGGAGGCAGCTTCATTCAGTCTCCATAAACACATGAAGTTATCATAACGGTTTATTCACTAATTCACAATAGTCCACGCGGCAGGGGAAAGGCCGGACATTGAAACACCGAAATGGCAGTCAACATACCGTATGCGAACAAAATCCGAGAAATTGCGATTGGCTTGACAATAGAAGCGAGTCTGACGGTCGTTCGGATCTACAGCCAAGTAAAGGTACATCAGTGAAGGAGCAACCATGGATAAAACAGCAGAGGCAAGTTGACTAATATGATCAGAGCGACATCCAACGAATCCCAAGTTTATATGTGATGCAATGACGGGTTGAGGGGGGACGTATAAATTGTGAAGCGGAAATCGGAAGTGCACAGAGAAGGCTCAAAACTAAAAACAGTAACGAGAACCGCCAGCGATGGGTAAGCGCAGTCGCTAAAAGTATCCTCCATAAGGTGTACGTAAGCAGTGGAAGGCTGAAAAAGCGCGGTGTGAAAGTAATCGGTCTTCGTTGAGGCCCATGCAATAGATTTAACAACCATGACATCAAAGCATGAATAAACAAGTCTTTTTTTGTTGCCTATAGGAAGTCAAGGGGATTCTGGTCTTGACACGCTTACCGGGGCAACTGTTATGTACGAAGGGTGTACGGGTCGCATTCCAAAAGACAAAGATAGGGTCATTCGCTAATGGAACTCTTTGCCGGAGTATGTTTTTAATTCCCCTACCGCGAGTGTGTTAAAGAGACAGCGGGATACTCACCTGCTGAAAGACAACCCGAACTGCCGAAGCCTGATTTGACGGATTAGTGAAATGACTATAAATATACTACTAACATGATTTCAACAGATCCTCCTTTGTGCGTTAAATTTGACACACAGTCCGAATGCAATGAACAAAGTTCATAGCAGTTATCTCGCGAATACCATACCCCTTTAGCACTGATGTTTCACTATTAAATATATGAATTCTCCTTACTAAAACTGTAAGCAACATTTTTGCAATTTAACTATTTCCCTTACATCTGTACCGTCTAAATGGAGTTCTTAGGGCTTCTGTCGTTTTCTCCAAATATACTGACTAAAACATAGTGATTTACTATAACCGTATTACTAGCAAACATATAGTAATAATGGTCAGTAAGAAACATTTTCTCATCGGTGACGACCAAGAGTTCTTCCTAGCCGTGAGGCGGGCGGCGGAGACAAAGGAAGAGAACGAGGCAGAGAAGACGCAGCCACAAGGCCCAGGTAGCCAAATGAAATTAATTATGATTACGGTGCGTCATTTCAAAACTTGGAAGGAGAATTCCAGACAACATACCTGCACGGTCACGGCCAAACAGGGCATGAATAATGTGTTCAGGAACATTTGTGAAGCCGAGAGGATCTTCTTGCGACTTCGGTTTTGTCTCAGGAACCTCGGGCTTTGTGTGGATGCAGTTCTAAAGAGATTTGGAAAATAAGAAGGGAGTTGAGATAGTGTCTGCGCGTGCCGGCCGTAAGCGCGGTCAGGAAAAAAGCTGAAAATCTTCCCACACAGAATGCCACTTCATCAAAGATAATGACTTGCTGGTTTAATGACAAACATTTAGGTGAGAGGTGCGCACCAGTTATGGACAAAGAAAGTCCCAAATAACCCGCACCTGACGCTTATGAAGGGGGAAAAGTCACATTTACAAGGTCCTTGTTTTAAAATTGTGTGCTCGGAGACGCGGTACACAAGCAAAGTGGACAGCATAGAATTACCTTAATTTTAGCTTCCAGGTCTGAAATGGCCTGCAGTTTGGCGCCAATCTCGCTCTCCAAACTGCTGACCTCAGCGTGAAATAAGTCATCAAGCTCCGACGGGAAGAGGCCACCTGTGAGGAAAAGAGGCATTTTAGAACCCAGGGAGAACCCAGGCGCAACACAAGACGCAGTTGAAAGAAATGCTAACCCTGACTGATCATCTGCTGACGGCGTGCAGCTCGTAGTTTCTGCAGATCGGAGAGAATTCTCAACTGCGTCCTGCAGTAGGTTCGAAGCCTCCGCAGTTGAGTGGCCGTTACCGCAAGCTGTTTCAAGTCCGCATCTACGGCCCTGTCGGATGGTTCTGCCATGGGGGCATCACCGGACTCCGGTGACCTGCCGGAAACGAGACATTTCACGAGTCGTAATGGACACAAAAGCAACAGCCTTAATGAAAGTAAATTCAAATATCGCATACGGGATCCCTTCTCCGAGGCGGAAATCCTCCGGGGCCAGGTTCTGAAGAGTGTCGAAAACGGAAGTCTGGACGATAAGCGGCGATTCACTGCGTCTCCTTGCATGCTAAAAGGGACGAAGAGGGAATCACTGGCAAATGGAATCGCATGACAGGGGGGGGGGCGGATACAATCTTCACGTTGCTATTTTTTCTCAACGGGTATTACCAAGATGACGCCGCCTGCAATTAATTGCTGCCGCGACGGACAGAGCATCAGAGACGAGCCGCTCGGTAGCACACGACAGACCAGGCCAACAACCGGTCGGGTTGTCACGACGGTGAGCAAAACTGCGACTATGCAGTGCAATCAACGCATTAAGTTAATTAGCCTCCCCCCGCCAGTCATAATGGCAGCGCAGCGCTCGGAGGCTGTTTTCGTTGAAAATGCCGTACGCAAAAGTTCGCTTTGCAAACAATAGTACGCAGTGATTAGAGCTCAGGATTTACAACCAATCGGCTGCGGGTTTGGACCTCAGGGGTTGCAAGGCCTGAGGTTAGGTATGGCTCGCTGACGATAGGTGACAAGCCCGAAATGGCCATTCCGGTCTCCAATATCTTTGTCCGTAATCGTTGTCTGCGTATGTAAGTGCCCATTGTGTGACTGCCTACGGATTCTTGATCTAGTCTCTGGGCCCTACGGGACGAGTAGGAGCCATAACACGACCGGTGAGCGTCCCTCTAACATAAGGCTACTTAGATGATGTGAGTAATGTTTTACAGTGACAATTTTTCAGAATATATGTGCAGCTATATACAACACAGTGACAGGCAAAAACAGGGTTTTCAAAGACTTTGGCCCTCAAAAACAAACTGAAGACCAAGGCGACAGTCTTCTCTCTCGACAGGTGAAAGAGAAGCAAATCGACACTAGCGCATCGCTACGTATGACGCAATTAATGCGGACCTCCGGCGTCTGCGAATTCCGTCACACGCATGGAATAAATTTTGGCTAAACACATTTCACAGTCAAATAAGTTGATCGCCGCAATTTGTAAAAGTCCATAATTCGGCCGGACTGGCAAATATATCTTGCGGATGCCGTATGTATTTATTAATCCTTATCGCCCTCGCCAACTTCTATTCGGCCACAAAGTGCCGAATAGGCACGACAGGGATCTGATGGAGGCCAGTAAGTGCACACCAGCGTCGAGGCAAGGAGCACCCTGTAGCGCCAGGGGGATTTCGAGATTGGAGGACGAAGCCCCAGGTCCGACGGGATTTTAAAACCATGGGACGGCTGACCGAGTCGTTGTCGTCGGCACCGCACACTGCCGGGAGTAGAGGGTTTGCGCCTCTTCTCTGTTCCCCACTAGGGACATGACAGCTCGACCGTCGTTACTGACGGTGTTTCACATCCGAATGAGAGCAAGGACGGCGACTTGCGCGTGAATTAGTTTATGGTGATAGTAGACTTGCGTAGCATCTACCACACTCTCTCCCCTCCCACCCGGACCAGGTGTCCAGGCAGAGTCAGTAAGACAGGAGGAGCTGCAGGTGGTTAGTGCGGCGTAAACATGCACCTAGGCGTACCACTGCACACCCCGATCCGCAAAAAAACTTGGTCAGGATTTTAAATGACAAAAAATATGGGGGGGGGGCAGCTCGGATCCCAGTTGGAGCGGCTTAAGACCGCAAGCCGAACGCTGGCATTTGTTATGGGTGCGTATTCCCGACAACGTTTACCAAAATCCGATGTAGCCCCCGTGTTGGTCCAGCGCATCCACGCGTGGCCCGTTTTAGGGGCACAAGCCTCATCAGCGACATGACCGTGACTTCACCCACTCAGGCAGGATGCAGTAGATTTGAGTGCGGGTTGTGAAGAAAACGCAATCTGCGACATCAACTGCAGTCCTAGCTTGTACAGATGACTTCTAACCTCTGACTGTAACGCATCCGCAGGCCTCGGCGGAGGATGGGGGGTATGGTAACCTTTGCGGCACAAGATACGTGGACAAGCGAGTTCGGGAATGATAACAGAAAAAGACGAGAGAAGGAGAAGGAGGAGGAGGAGGAGGAGGAGGAGGAGGAGGAGGAGGTGAGAAGTAAGACACCTTAATGCGACTTACGCGACTTCTCTTCTTCCTATCTATCCGCGCAAGTCGCCGCTTGACGATGTCGAGAGTTTCAGGGTCACTGCACCGAGCCTGCAGATCTCGAGCTTCAGCCTGTACAAATAAAGGCAAAAGAGTAACTAAAGCGAGGAAAGCGCAGTTAGGCGACATAGAAGAAAAATACGGCCACCAAAACCCGGACCGCTAGAGGAATCGGGACGAAACCGTTGGAGCTAACACTCAAAGAAAAGAGATGACAAAGAAAGGAAGGGAAGAAAGTGCAAACAGAAGACTTCACCTTCTTTGAACGCGCTCCTTCTACGCCATAATAATGGCCAACCATGATGATATCAAGTACGCGTGGTTAGTTGTGGCCTCTGTGCATTTACCCTTCTAGCAGCAAAGAACGAACTCAGGGGTTAGGAACGGCCGCCCGGGGACCCCGATAGACCAATGAAAATGAGGCTTAACGCCAATCGTCTCCACGGTGGGAAAGGAAGGATTTCTGACGCAGAGGATGCACACAACTGTCCCGTTGCTGTCTTTTAATGTGTGATTTCTGCAGGCCGTCGAAAAGGAATTAATTGAAAAGCCAACATCCTGGGGTGTCTGAAATACCATGGGATTATGCTGCACGATAATCAATATTACAATTAGAAGCAACCATCAGGCGCCAGGTCATCAGGCCGAAAGACAGGCAGGAAACGTCTGGAGCCGTCGGAGAAACCGGAAGATTACCGCGGACGCGCATGGCTGAGCACGCGGCAGCGGTGAGGAAGACGCCAGCTCTCAGGTAGTAGCTCATTCCACGGAACCCCGACATATTTTCAAGGGGCTGAAATCCTCGCAAGAGCAGAGAACCGCGTAAGCCGCGTGCTGCGCGAATCATGGTTCTCAGGTCCGCAATCCATCAACAGGCGCAATAATCTCCCGGTACCATATTTGGTGCTGAGACATTCCTTGAGCAGGGGAATCAGTCACGTGGGGAGGGCGCGGACGCCCAACTATCCTGGTGACAGCGGGCCAAATCGTCGAGTAATCATCGCATCAACGTCCAACACGGATGATGAAATTGCGGTAATTAACGCCTCGGACGCGGAATGACGAGCTATCATCGCCTTAATGACGACCCCCCAGCGGTGATCACGAGAGCTGTTAATTATAGGACGCGTGTGGCCCCACGGCAGCTACGTACTATTAATACTGCAGTCTTTTTGCCTGCATTATATGCAACCGTCTCTGATGACGGATTCGAGTGAGAGTCCAAAACGTCAAGCCAATAAACTTCTTGTTCCAGTGATCGCATCTTCTTCTTCGTCTTCTGAACTGTTTCCTGGAATTCGCCTGTTCGTTTCTATCCGTCATTTCAGGACTTCGGTTAGCATTTCATGAGACTGGTCACTGACTGTGCATTAATCATCCAGAGGATAGTTTTAAACCAGCTCGTCAAACTGACCACATCTAGCCAGTTCAGGCTTCCGCACAAAGGTGTATGACGGTGGAGCTCTGCGTGGCGCGGTCAGACGACGTCCTCTTCCGTTCAGACCCAAAACGTCAGTTGTGAACTTCAGGGTCCCGAGCTTTGGGTACGCACAGCCCAACATAACCCCAGGTCCGCAGATGAAAAACCCAAAGCCACAAAGAACTGCAATCCAAATACAGGTCCAGGAATCAACTCGAGCTTCCGGAGGACAACTTGGCCAGCATGCGTTCGTTTGCGAGAAATTATTGCCAAGCCCATACACTAATGTGGCTTCGGAGTTGATTAAAACATGTAGATAATCGGGAAAATCGAGTTAAATTTACTTTTTCACACAAGTGGAAGGTGGGGAATACGGGAGGGTAAGAAGAGGCAGTCAGTATAAACCAATCGGGCAAGGACGACTACTGAGGGGGAAGAGGGCTGGGATGAGCTGTGTCAGGGGAGGAAGGAAAGTGCAGAAAGTTGCACGCAGTCATCAGAATTTCGTGCATCGTCTGTGCGCACAAAACCGGCCCGGGTAAGCTGATTGAGACTGCTTCTAATAAGCGCTGTCTCAGTGGTTCGGGGTAATTCAGTTGGACCCCGTTAAATCGCCCGGAAGGCTTCGTTGGGGATCACTCGACGTCCAAAACAGGCCATATGTGCGAATGTGGGGTCACTTACAGTCCTAATTTTGCCTTGTTTCAGACATGCAGGGAGGTGTTCACATATCCTTCTGGATAGGCGTCGACTCGTGCGAGCAATATAGCCTACCGTCGGAAAGTTAGCATAAGAGCTGTCAACACATCCTTACCTTATCTGGTCGAGAATAATACCCAGACTCTAGCTGCTGCTAAGTTCCGTGAAACATCTTGGGCGGAGTGTCTTCACTGGAGTCCAATCGGAGGGTTCCCCAGGAAAATAACTTTGGGTAACAGACGCATTTCCACTGTCAGCACAACGAACTTTGCTGGTCTCTCAGTGTTATTCTTTGCGATAAATCAGCCACGATGCTCGGTCTCGCGAAGTACGGTCTGGATCCCCCCAAGTCCTCCCTCACCGCAATTAGTCTGTTACCTAGACGATGCTGACTCGTCCCACATTTCCAACATCTTACTTTCATGGAATGATGGAAGTACCTCGATTTAACGAATGGTCACCATGTTTTAATTAACCCATACTCACTTAGATGCGTGACAATGATGAGAATGTGCCGGAGGCAAGCGTTTGTCCCCCAAATGGTCTTCGCAACTCCAGTTTTATTGAACGCGACCAGCCTCAAGCTGAGAGACAGCTGTCTGACGACTGAAATTAGGGCAGAAACGACCTCCATAGTCTCCCTTGTCTTCGTCGACAGTGTAGGTCTCGTGGCCCGGTGGGTAGAGGCGTGGACTTCTAAACCAACAGGTCGCGAGTTCGAGCCTCGAGTGTTCCACACTTTGGGGTTGGGTATGACTGGCTGACGACGGCTTATAAGCCAGAAATGGTCATTCCAGTCCCCCTTGTCTTTGTCGGCAATATTATTCTGTCTATATCATGCGCCGCCGAGCGGCTGCTGGTTGGGCTCGAGAGAGAGCCCATAAGGCACAACGGGACGAGTGAGTTCCGTAAGAACGATCGGTGATCGCCCCCTTACAAGTGTAGGTCTTGTCAGAAAGCGGACAGAAAAGAGGGAGCAGAATCAAATGACTGTGCTTCGAGTCCAAAATCCCTGAGGCAGCAGGATAAACCCCTGGATGCAACCTCCCCCACCCCCACCCCGGCGATGCACTAAGTACATAAGCTTGAAAACCCAAAATCTCAGATTCGACCGCACGGTAGTGACTAATTCCGGAAACACCGGAAAACAAGAAGAACGAAAGTGAGTTTCTGAACGGTGCGATCTATGAACATCCATCTGATAACTAAAATGCCGGCAAGGTCGAACATTGGCGTGAAGGTCTTGACCACTAATCATTGATAATCTGCGTCTACCCGGGAGCAGAATTCATGCCTTTTCAAACCAAGGAAATGGGGCAAAATTCGAATAACCGGGCAGTAAGACAAGGCGTACTTGGTGCGTTCCGGTTCTGAGACTAGGTTGGATGTCTCACAGGATGCTGCCTAGACATGAGCGAACAATGAGGCGGGACGATGCACTAACTAGGGCGTGCAAACTAGAACGGTCATTGGCGATAGAAGCGAGCTCCAGGAAGCAGTTCAGAAGAAGATGCGATCACTGGAGTAGGAACTTTATTGGTCTGACGTTTCTGATTGTCACCCGACGCCAGTATCAGGGAAAGTCGCAGATAAGACTGATAGAGGCACAAGGAGTGCAGTATTTGTTGGACGCAGTTGCCTGCTATAATTGACAGAACACGCATTTATCGCCAGGGGTCGTTCAATCCCATCCGCGGGCATGTAAGTCAGCAGTTAGCGTGGTGGACTATCTTTCACCTAGAAGGGGGTTCACGCTGGCTTCCAGTACCTGAATCATCAGAACACCTCCGAGGAAGAAAACTGAGGGCCAGTAGGGTGGGTGTGCAATAAAGAAGTCGAACTACGGAGGGGATAGACAAGGCGACTGAAATTGGGAAGTTGAAGTAGACAGAGACTAGAAAACAAGAGGGTCACCAAACATCGAATCGAGCACAGTATTACCGAATCACCACAGCCGCTGCTCAGCAATTCATCCCATCTCGCCAACAAGGCCCTAAATTCAGGAATGGTGACTTTGGCCTTTTCGCAACGTTCCAATTTAGCACGCTCGAGTCTGGCGGCATTGTCCGACAGCCACTGACAGACTGCGGCAACGATAGCCGGGTCGGCGGACGGTCCGAACTGCTGCTGTTGCTGCCGATCGGTACCAACAGGTTGCTGTGATGGCATTGAAGTTGGCTGCGTGGGACACAGTGGCGGCGGTGGTGTAGAAAAGCGAAGCGGACAAGCGGGCGGCATAGACGAAGGAGGAGGAAGCGGTGGTGGGAGGGAGACCGCGATTGGTCGAAATGAGCGGCCAACACTGTTGGGGCCTGAGAACGGTGGTGGTTGGTTGAAGTCAAGAGGTGGCATAACAGGAAAAGCCTGTCCTTGGGGTGGTGGCGGCGGAGGCCGTAGAAAGGAGGACGGCGGCTGCAGAAACGGTCCTCGCTGGGGCGGTGGTTCAGTGCTTCGCAGCAGTGGTGGCGGTGGAAAACGCCATCGTCGTGGATCCATCCCGAGCTGGAATAGGCGCACCGGAACGGATACACTAATGCATGAAAGGGTCAGGTAACGGTACTGTGCCTTAGATATTTACTTATATTAGGCCATTGACAAGTGAACAGTAGGAAGCCATCTGTAAGAGTTCACCCGTCGGTTTTTGTTCTTCTGGATGTCCTCGTAAACGGAACGCACCGTTGTTGCGCTCGGTTAAAACAGGAGTTGCACCGACTCGCGGCATGCGTTAATCAGGTTGTGCTAAGTCTGCGGGGTCCATAAGTACTGGTGTGCATGCTTTAGGATGTCTCACAGGCAGATTACTGGTGCGTGGAAGAATGAGGCCGGTACTGACGCACCCTTCCCCAAGGACATTCAGACTACTGCTTACTATTACAAATTTGACGCATTTGAAATTATTTCGACACACTACGAGGTCTGGGTTGGAAAACTGCCAACTGACGAGATACAGTCGGTGGGCTAACTCATGAAATGTCAACAGAAATTCCGAAATGCGTTCCCGTTTCGAAAAGATTAATTAAGTAGGGCTGTAAAACCAATCATCGTGCAGCATAATTCTATAAAAATTCAGTTACCCTAGGACGCCGGCTTTCGAACGAACTTCTTTCAGGCTACATGAAAAAAGCTATACCCTGTAAAAAATGCCTATTTATGTAGCATGCACTTTTTCATTGATTTTCGATGCTCTTAAAGATTCAATTATATTTCATGGAAAACATGCGCAAAAATAGTAATTTTCGCTCATTCAGCAGAAAATCAGGTCTCCGTAATATTTACACTCGAAGGAAGGATATAATTCGGTTTTAAAAAAGTTTCTAATTGTGACATTTTTTAATACTGTGAAATGGCCATTCGTAAAACACGAGGTCTCTGCATGTACCAATGTGGCTTGTAAAGTTAACTATATGGCTCAAATCCACTGCTAAATTTTATGAACCCCTTATGGTTTCCTCCCAATACCGTAGAGGAATTGTAGGTTTTCGTATGCGGTGAAATATATGGCTTGTAGTTTGCAAACACTGAATGCAAGTGTAACGACAGGTCGGGTTCAAAATTATTCGGCAATTGGAAGAGTTTCGTCCATAATCGATAATTACCATGGCAGTGCCAGGTTTATCACATGGTCCAGCTGCTTACAGAGTTCTGGTTTCCTCCTCCGTATTGCAGCGAAAACTAGCTCTGAACTTACAACGAGCCTCATTCTATAGGCGATATGTAGATGACATTTTCGCTATAGTCAAAAACCCAGGCGACGGAGAACTACTGCTCAAGGCTCTAAACAAAGCACATGCAAAGATCAAATTTACGATCGAGCATGAGAAGAATGACACGCTGCCTTTCCTGGATATTCTTGTACGTAGGCGAGCAGATGGCTCTATTCAGAGATCCATCTATCGAAAACCCACCTGGAAAGGACAATACATGCACTTCCTCAGTTTCGTTCCAATTCAGAGAAAACGGAACTTGGTTTTGTGCCTGTTCAATAGAGCCACCAGAATCTGCTCCTCAGATACAATAGACGGCGAGCTTACTTTCCTAAAGAACGTTTTTCTTGCAAATGGGTATCCGGAGAAATTCATAGATAAATATCGCCATCCCAGACAAGAAACTCTTGAAGAAATATCTGTACCTAAAAAGTCCGTGACCATCTACCTCCCCTTCAAGGGTGATAATGTGTCAAACGTGATCAAGCGACGACTTCGGTGCACTATCGAAAGGACGTATGCCGCCTCTAAATTGTTGTTCATAAGCACCACAACCGCCATCCCAGTTAGACCAGCTAAAGACATTTTGCCTATGCACGCCACATCAAACTGTATTTATGAGTTTACATGTAGTTGCGGATGCAAGTACATCGGGCGCACGCAAAGGCAATTGGCAGCTCGGTCAGCTGAACACATGCCGAAGTGGCTGCTTAAGGCGGAAAATAAGGTACCCAGGAGTTCAATCACAAAGCACCTATTGGACACGGGCCATACGGTGGACCAAATGGTTGCATTCAAGGTCCTGTTTCGGGCGACGACCGGGCGTCTCTTGCGCTTTGCAGAGGCCGCTGCAATTGGAAGAGTCTTATAAAACCAAAGTATACCCTTGCTTGGAGTATAAGATTGAAAGAAGACGTAATTTTCTACCAAATGAGCAACAGAATGAATATTTTTATACATTTTTTCTGTGAAGTATAATTGAATCTTTAAGGGCATCGGAAGTCAATGAAAAAATGCAAGCTACTTAAATAGCCATTTTTTACGAAGTATGGTTTTTAGACGCAGCCGGAAAGAAGTCTGTTAGAAAGCCGGCATCCTAGGGTAACTGAACGATCATAGAATTATGTCGCCGGATGATTGGTTTTGCAACCGTACTTAATTCATCTTTTCGAAACGGAAATGCATTTCGAAATTTCTGTTGAAATTTCATGAGTTAGCCCACTTACTGTAACTATGTTCCAGTGAGGATTAGGGGTCAGATTGCAGTGACTCCTTAAGGTGACCTTTGCGGCGCTGTCGGTTATGTGAGATCCAATACCCACCCCCCCGCGGAAGCACGATGCATGTGGGGTCAAGGTCATACGTGACAGATGCAGACGAACTGTCCAGCTTTGTCAGCCGGTCGTCTTGACCTCACCTTGTCACCATAGCATGGTTGGCGATGTGAGGTAGATACATTGTAAGCCTGCTTCGCCACAAACGACCTGCATGCAAGTCACGACTGCAGTCGCCCCGAGGGGAAGTCAGGAACCTCGTCCCTTGAGCGAGTTGAACACAGTCGAATGACAAGATAAAATGCGGGCAGGTGTCTAGCCCGTGACATGCCTACGCTGTGGGGATAAAGCCTAACTGGGTCTCATTAAAAAAGATCGGACAGGTTCCCCAACCCAAAGCTGGAGGAGTTGACTCTACCTCAAGCAGTGTCCACTATACTCCTTAGCTCGACGCACATCGAATGAAACAAATGGCCATCACGGCACACTAGGCTACACCCCGAGAACAGCGACCCACCATCCAGCGCCCCTGCTGACTTTGGGTACCCCAACGACGCAGGAGACTGCAGCAACACTGGTGTTGTCAGCCAGCCAATGAAATTTGTCCACGACCAACGCCAGCGTCTTCACTTTTCCTTACTATTTGCCTCCAAGAAGAGAACTTCTAAAATAGTGAAATTCCGGATCCTCTTCAAGCCATATTTGGGATCTTTCGAGACAGACGCTTTTGAATCTATCACGAAACGCCTCGGGTTTTTCTCGTTCCGAAGTCTGGGAATGGCTGATCGATGAGTGGAAGCAGGCCTGAAATATAGATCACAGTGCCCTGCGCTGGTGTCAGCAATACTTCTCCGCTGCACGCATTGTCGTCCAAACGCACCAACTGTCAGTCGTGACATGAGCGATTCTCGCAGTCCACGGTGGCTTCTATCTGTCAGTGTTCTGTGAAAACCAGCAGGCAGGCAGCGATGGCGCCGGCGGGCTGTGTGAAGATGAAGGGGACGGCAGGCAGGTCGAACCACCCACCCAATGTGGCCAACGCATGCCAGCGAAAGAGACTGTAAACCCTTCGTCGGAGAGGAGTTTGTCTGAGCGTGTTGCTCGTCACGCAGACTAAATGGCAAAAGGCGCTAATTGGCAGGGAGTATGGGCGACAGTTCGAGATCACCCACACTTAATCATCAGCGGTGCTGACGCCAACGGGTGCTCCATCGTCCATGACGGAGAAATCGAATCATATCAGGTTGTGTGTTGTTTTTTCCAATGGAATTTTTACTCGCGAGAGTCGGGCGTTCTGTACATCCACTCCGCGGCGACCCAGTGAGAGCGAAGTATGTGCCAGTTAGGTCAGGTCCTGGGCTGAACCGCTAGATTCCTTCCCCCGACCAGTTCATTACTTATGGGACTCTATAAACTACGGACTGCCCTGCTTATATATAGCCCGCGTTTGACCTCTGACAGGAAGGATGAACGAGTACGAGGCGGGACCTCAAATCAGCTAGGCGACGGGGACTCTGCCCGATTCTTTGACCCGGAATGAGCTTACTAAGAGACCCAAACTAGGACTTCGTCAGGTCTCCATTCAGACAGTCCCTTGAGATAGGTATGTGGGGCAGAGTTAGTGCTCTTGGAAGATATTTGACTCACAATCGGGTTCGACAGATGATGCTGTGGCTATGTTATCCGAATTCAATTGGTTGGGTCGCTAGTGAACGACTGCGAAGTCGGCCAGAAACAGTAAAGACCAAACGGGCACTGTCCGTATCCGCCGGGTCAGAATGCTCAGCTATGGAGTGTGTAGGACTGCGGGAAAATCCTCGCCCCGACATGGACTTGTCGACGGACGGTCAACTGAGGACATGGGTAGATGCCGTGGAAGTATACGTGAAGCAGGCGTTCCGCTGCATCAGCTGACAAAATGAGGCTGAGCATGACGTAAGGCCCCCGAAGTTGATCTGATGCGTCGAGTGCAGTCGACGCGGCAGTCTGTTGCCGACCGACCTGAACGGAAGCCGATCAGGCGGGAGTACTCGCCGGCAGCATTGGCGCGCCTAAATGTCCGGATGAAGAGCGTTGCAGATGTGCTACGTGCCAAAACGCAAGAAATATCGACAGTCTTTGGAATAGAAAAAAAAGCGAGACCTTAAGTAAATCCACACACCGGGGTCCTGCGGGCTTTGGATTTAAAACTATAACGGCCATCTACGCGAACCGCACGACAAGAATCGGCTGTCAAGTGGTGTGCATGTCCCCACTGATTTTCGAAAGTTGAAGGAATGCAGTCATAATTATAACTCGGAAATGATGCGTAAACGACGGATTGCTCGTGTCCTATTGGTCAGTAGTTACGTCTTCTTGATATTGAGCATTCGAGGGATCAAAATACTTTGGAATGAAACGATTTGGTAAATAATGTATATTTTGAAACGCTACCTGCGGTTTAAAGAAATCATAAGGCCTAAAAGTTTTGCGCTGTCGAAGTGCACTAAAACAACAGCTAACCCTGCGTTTTCCAGTGAGAGGACCTCCAAATGCTTATGAAGAATTGCCAAATGGGCAAAATAGTACAACCTAAGCGGCATTAGAACACTCGGGTACAAGTGTACACGGGTAGTCGTGAGAGCTTGTAAAAAACCTTATGTTCTAAATGCCGAAATAACCCGTCTCCTCAGTGAGTGAATTTGAAAGGGGTCTACTTCACAATAAAATTGGCATTATAAATGAAGCCCTGATGCGTCTGTTAGGGTGACGGTTTAATGAACTGTAACCACCTCAACGGCTAGAACAAGAACCTTATTCGCCTGAGGTCTCGGACGCCTGCCAGAACCCAACATTGGACACAGCAACAGATGAAAAATACCACGTCAACCACCAACGCAGGTGATGAGATTGTCGTCGAACGATAATCCCCACAATTACAAACATCCGAGGTTGACATGAGAACTACTCACTTCAGTTGCTGTGAGCCTGCCAAAAGCCAAAACCCAGAAACCGTGCACACTGTGCTAGCGACAGTTCGACCGTCGTTGTCAACGATGTCCACCACGTGCTCTACAGCAGGGTGAGAGTAGGAACAGTGATTTCGTCTAGAGTGACGTTAGACTTACGCAACATCTGACGCACGCTCCCCCGCTCCCGCACCTGGGCCAGATGTCAGGACAGTCAAGAAGACCGGAGACGGTGCAGGTGGTTGTCAAGGCAAAAGCATGCACTATGGCGTACTACCACAGCCCTTTGTACACTGACCAGGATTTTATGCAAGGAAAAGGGAAGGCTCGGATCTCAAGTGGCGCGGCGGGAGCCTGCACCTAGGTGTGCAACCAAACCTCGAATGCGGGCAGTTGTTATGGGTGCGCACCCTCATTAACGCCAATCAGACCCCGTTCTAGCTCCTGCGCAGATCCAGCGCACCTACCGCGTGGCGAATAAAGTCGTTGTTTCAGCGGCCGAGTCGCTCTTGTACCTACTGCCTAGAGCTCGTCTTTCGCATGCATTAGTGCGACCGCCTTTTGCCCTGGTTTCAGGTTCTTGCATTCTCAAGAATCCAAAAAATCTCTTTCTCTGTGTTCGTGTATTCGAGGTAGATAACTTCACCCGAGCCCGGATCGAAACACCGTGGCCGAGAGCACAGCCAAAAAAGCCAGAAGTAGAGGGCAAGGGATAGACTGGGACCAAACTGAATGTTGACAATACCAGTAGGCGTGAACTCTGGTATAGATACATATGTGCGAAAATCAGAAATGTATAACAGAGAGACCACAAGTGAAACCAATAGAAATTAGGATATCGACCACGAGAGCGGCAAGGCCGTGGCGCACCGATGAGTAATGACCATCCACAGAAAATGATCTGTTTCTACCTCAGCCACACTGATGCGTACTATTCGCCTAACTGAGCAAAGCTGCGGGCAATCTAACCAGTTGTCAAGAGTTGCGGTCTCCTAAAGTGACTGCCATTGCAGACGATTTTCTGCAGTTTTGAGGTCGAAAGTAAACGCCTCCAACCACCCAACACAGGACCGTGTCAATCTGACGAGATGACGTAGTTATTGGCGCAACTAAATGCACTAATGTCATTGGTGGCACCAACACACACATAGAGTTAACTTAGTCCTTCATGTCCACTATCCAGTCCATACCATACCCGCAACCTGGTTGGGATACCGTGTGAAATCGAGCGCGTTAATTAAAACATGAGCGCGGACCCAACCCTTGGCCAACGGCTACGGTCGGTGGCACATGTTGTCGCATGTCGAGTTGTGCGGATGAGGCGACAAACACTGCTAATGGCGCAGGGGACGGGTTAGATAAGAGAGCGCATAACACTTTCCATGCCCAGTATCTTTGCAGAGCTGGCTCTTGCTATACAGAACCCATAGGCATTTACTTGTAATGGCATCCTACGTTGCTGATTCAGCTGACTTCTAACTGCAGGTTCACTGTATCACGGATGATTGGCACGCACCGCAGCCGATGAGCGGCGGACCTCAGAGCATAGCAAACTGGTGAGACAGTCCCGCAGGCCGAAGGGGCAGAAATGCGCCTTCAATATGTCTACCTACGCCTCCGTGTTGCGGTCTTTGCGTGGTCGCGAGACAGGCTATAAGTTACTCCAGTCTCGAGAAAGGAGCATAGCTGATGGGATGTGTCACTAGCCACTCTAGAGCAGTCCATTTGAGATGGTTGGATGGAGCGCAAGTGCCATCGACGGAGTAGTTCTTTTTCGAGCGTGAAAGCTACAACCCTATGCACTCACAGTTTGGTTTTCCAGACGAATCCACACTGATTGAAGACGTCTTGACCGCCTAGTTAGTTAGATGAGGGGCTCCACCTCTACATTTATCGTCCGACAGAAGATTCGTCCCAGCATATGAGAAGCTATCTGATGTGCGAAGAGGCTCACTGTCTATCATGGCGGGGTAAATGTACCTGACCGCGAATTGTTAGGGGGAGTGAGCGTAAGATAAGGAAGCTGCAACGGTCCCTCTAATCTGGGAACTCATCGGTGAGCAGCAGCCATTACGATCACACGGGTGGAAAAAAAACAGAACAGACCAGAGAAGTCGACTTCGTGCTCTGTCAGTTATACCTCATCAGGCGCTTTCCTCTCGGTTTTATTCGGATATATACGCGAGCTTGGCACTTTCTTTCTCATAAGGCGAGACCGCCAACAGTGCAGTCGTGTCTCACTAAATAACCACGGCAAAAGTGTAACTTTGCACACAGTGGCCTTCGCGGGAACAGAAAGATTATTGAGGCGTCTGTCGCCTCAGTTAGCGTCTTCACTTCTGACATTGCCGACACAAAGGTCACCTGAGACTGGGTATTTAAGTCCGAGGGCAAGTACTTTAACAGAGCGCGTGGATCAAATCAGCCAAGGGGACTCTGCTAAGTGCAGAAGAGGGCGAACGCGGAGCGGTATAACAAGAGACTCGGGAGTTAGATTAGGGTAAATCATCTGCCCCCCAGTTCTCAGTTAGAAGGGAGGGAATTCAGGCAACTATGCCGCCGCATAGAAGAAAGGATTCATCGAATACCAAAGCAGACACTAATTGATGACAATCTAGGAGCAGATTAAAGAAATAAAAGAAGGGAGAAGTCGGTAAAACCATAAATTTTAATAGCCGATAGTCAATGTATCATCAGTTGCAAAAGTTGCAAGATGGCTGAAATATGAGGGTCCTGAAAAGGACCGGTCTCCTTAAGAGAAAACCGTTAGTGTTAGTTTGCTTACTTAGTCTGCCTTTTCTGGTGCCTACAAAAGTAGCAATATAAGAACAGTGGCATACTCAGTGAGCGCGTCTTTGAAACTTTTAGAGGAAACAAGTAAGTAAAAGTACCGTAAATTTGAGGTTGAAAAGGAGGAAAAAGAAACTACCTTGAAACTGTCAACCACAAAGAAGTTAGAGCATTGACAAGAATATCAGGCAAACACGTAAGTAGCTGATCCACACATGCACCCCTCAGACAGGTGCATCGCGCACGGTTATGTGTGTATATAAATACGTGCAAATCATCCACATATAAGACCCAAGAAGGATGGGTAAGGAAGAGAGGTACATACAGGAGCTCCGGTCTGTTGGTCATTCTGAGGGGTGGGGTTGTTGCACGAGTTCTGAGAAAGACTTATCAGAGAGGTTTAAGGTAAGATCTTCACAGCCATTATATGGATTCAGTCCCACACAACGGCAAAGCTTCCCGAGAAGGCTGAACCGATAGGCCCGCCGGCGGTAAAGAGGCGGGTGCCCGAAGGGTCATATTCGTGGGTGTAGACTGCAGTGTTTGTGCCAGGAGTAGACAGCCCCAAAGAGCGGCTGAAGAGGGCCCTGGTTGCCTCTTCCGAACTGAAGACCATTCTGGTTCGGGCGGTGGCAGAAAGCGGGGGTTCCTCCGATTGGGCAACAAAATCTTCGACTTCACCACTGCCTTCCTCAACGGCAGTGGTGGAGGGGGTCGTGTCACTATGCGTGTTGCGCATAAAGTCGGAGTTAGTCGCGACGGAGTAGAGCAAAGCTCGTTGAATCCGCAGTGCTGCCGTAGTCTGACGAAGCTGGGCTAGACGGATGCGCAAACGCTCCAGCCCTACGCGCGTCTGCGAAATCGAACCCAAGAGTGACATGGAGCCTAAATCAATCACCGAGGACTCTGGAGAGGTCGGCGAGGCAGCGAAACGGATCCTGCCGCGCAAATGAGGTTGTACAGTTGACGTGCCTTCACCTTCTTCTGGTGTGGAAAAATAGGAATTTGAAAGATAGGGAGGACGGAACATCTGTTCCGCCACGTCCTCCTGCAGCTCTTCCTGAGCTATTGACGAGGAAGAGCGAGTTGATGGACCGAAGTCGGAGGCTAGGTCAGGCAAGTCGTCTACCTCAGATGGAGGAAAACCGGAAATTTCACAGGTTGGGTTAGACTGGCGCGTCTTGGACTCCACGTCTAAATGAGTAGGGAGGTGCTTGTCGGCTGCCAGGTCATAAAAATGTACTTTTCCAGCTGAGGTGCCATAGGATACTAGATTTCCTGAGAAATTGAGGGAACGCACACAGGAGGAAAAGGAGGAGAAAGGAGGATAGATACAACGCGCAGATGTGTTCCTGATCTTGGATGGGCAACGAATGTCGAAAAGGAGGACAGACCGATGGGTGGCGACTGCGACAACATTATTATTTAGAGGCCACCGCCGGAGTGCGACCGCCTCCTATGGAAAAGAAGAAAAACAAATGCGGTAGAGTTTTGGAGCGTGAAAAAAACAGGATAACCCTGTGTAGGACAAATAAGTGATCAATTATAAAAAAAAACAGAACACGTTTCAGATGGGGTTAAGACAAGTGCTACATATGGTTAACCTATTCCTTTCTAAAGAAACGCGTCACACACCAGCGGACGGCGTATAATTTGAATCAAGCTGGACTAAATGAAAACAGGCAAGGCTAGAGAGCCGGAGGGTTAAGTATCAAACAGGTGATGAAGGGCTGCGATCGGCCCTGCAAGGACGAAACATAGAATAACTGTCACAGCAAGCGGTGGTGTTGGTCGGACGATTGTGTATAAAGCTACCTGACGACAAAATTTATACAAAACCTCCTAGTTCCTTACAATGGGTGAAATTAGATCATTTAAGCAGATCTCTCGGATAATTAATGCAATACGAAATCCGAAGGATATAAATACACCGAGGACTGGGACAGTATGTGGTTCCGCATCCTATGAAGGCATTTTACCCCGTGTTGCATACTCTGCAGTAGATTCCTTAAGAGTACCTTAACAACGGGCTGTGCTATGGAGGCGCTGGATCAAGATTGGGACACAGCAGATTTTAGCCTGACTGCGCAGTGTCCGCGCGCCCCATAACTACTGCTGCACACCGGGGGTGTAGTGGCACGTCTAGGCGCAGGATTCGGGTCACACTAGCCACTTACGTCCAATCTCAGCATAAAATTGCTGACCGGTTTGAAGAGCCGACTGGTGCACGGAAGAGGAAAGTGAGAGGTCGACTCAGGGGACTCCATCCTCACAGCCATTCATCGCCTTCCTCACCATAACAAAACCTGATATGCTTTGAATCTTCACGACGCGCTAAAAGTCGTGTCTTAGAAGGCTCCAAACAGACCGGGTAACTTAGTTCTCTCAGGACAGAGAGTTAGGTTTAATGGTCCCTGCTGAGTGTGACTTTTATGACACTTCCACTCAGAGGGGATCCACGCCGGCCCTCTCCTATAAAAATCTGGTACATCGTGGGGGGACCAGGTCGTGTGTGGCACGCGTAGACGGGCTGGTTTGTCTTGGCCGAGATCGCCGCCGGTCGTCCTCCCTTTGTCTTATCACCGAGCCCAGGTGGGTGGGGGGAGACTGGCAAGTGCTGGACAAGTCTACTACCACTATAAACTACTAAAACACAAGTTGTGGGGCACACGACAGACACCGTTGTTGGCGACAGCCTAACTTACGAGGTTCCTTTGAAAATCAAAAACGGAATGCAAATAATAAAACGCCTAGTTCGCCTGGTGTCAATAAGACAGCACGATCGAAAAAAATGTAAACTATCACAAGAATACATGTAGCCATAAGATATTTATTTTTTTTAAAGAAAACTGTACATCCTACATGTGAGAAGATGAACCCATAACTGAAAATAACAAAAAGTTGAGCATTTATTCCGACAAAAACAGTCAGCAGGGTATTAGGTGAAAGGTGTTAAAAACAACATGTTAGAATCAATAGCAGTCTCGTACTGACCCACCCTGCAAGCAACCAGATGGCTTTGCTTCCGACTTGTCTTTAATGTTGTGGAAAGATGCCTGCTTTAGATCGAGTGTCAGTTCAGTTTTATTTAGCGAAAGATAGGCGAACTCGTCTTTGAACTTCCTTGGAATTTTTACTAAGGCCACTTTTCGGCAGAACGACTTAAGACGCATTTCGACGCGTGCTGTTTCCTAGTTACTGACTTGCGCAGCATCTGCCGCACTCCCTCCTCCCCACTCCCCACCTGGATCCAGTGTCAAGACAGAGTCAAGAAGACCGGAGACGGAGGAGGGCGCAAGTGTATTTCCTAGTTACTGACCATATGAAGCAAATAGGATAGTGGATGATAAAACAGACCACAAGTAAGGTCATGCGCAAAATCAGCAGGGTTGCGGACCAACAGTCACCGAGTTACTACTGTGCGAAGGGCCGGAGTCTCGCACGCCGACTAATAAAAAAACGCAAAATTCATTGACGACACTGTGGCGTGATGACCGTGAACCACAATTAAGCAATCCTGCTTACCACTGCTGCCTTACTAGCAGCTGGAGGTGACAACCTCGGACAAGCAATATTGGTGGCTGTTGGGGACACAAAGCACGTCCAAGAAATCTCATGAAAATGTCATAACAGGGCACTATTATTTATGGCACGGCGTACGCGGAACCGAGGGGGACATGGAGTGGTCATCACTACCTCAAGACAGAAGAACCATGCGCTGCTTGCGTAGAAATCAGCAAATGACCGGCTGAAGGGGGCGCTAGTAAAAAATGCACCGTTCCTGAATACGGACCAACATAAACTACCGATGAGCGCGATCAAGAAAACTTTTGTTTGAGGTTATCAGAAGTGGCCGGAAGATTCCCTCATGATGCATTGGTTGTTGTCAGGCCGGGAATGGTTGAGGTAGGGGAAACGGTTTTTCAAACAACCGTCTTCTTGACCAGTCTAGACTTGGCCTTCAACGCAAATACGACGAAAGGGTGCTGGGATTTGCTAACAAGGGCAAGTGCTTGGGCACCGAGACTTGCTTCCAGTATAGACACAAGCATTCGCCAACCTTGAATCCAAACAATGGTGTCGAAACCGGAAGTGTCTGTGGAACAGACCATGTTTTTACTTACACTTGCTTGAAAATTAACTTCATCCGTGCCAAAATGTCCAATACCGGACGCCTTCATGTCGTAAAATTACGTTAATCAAGCAAGGCAGAAGCTTTGTTCAGTTTTTTGCAGCCCGAGTCGGAGAAGACAAAGGCGAATGGTCAGCGCTGAAGTCCTCAGTTCGCAAAACGGCTGAAATAATGCTTGAATTCGCCCAGAAACAACGGAATGGTCGAGTAATCTCAAACACCACATGTCTGGTCAAACACCTTGAGCTAGGTCTCAAAACAGCCATTAAGTTAAATATGAAAAAGACGGCAAAGTCAGCTGGAGATGACGGTAAAAATGATTGGATTTGAGTGGTGACTTACAATGGGCAGGCTTGAAACGTCCGTGACACTCGAAAACAGCACCAACTACTTCGCCAGGTTAGTGGCGGGCCCTAGGTATAAAGTGATTTTGTTTGCGATATGAGTGATGGCTTGATGGCTGACAACTCGACCAAGGTCGAGTGCTGGTACAAGCACTTCCAGCACCTCGACTCGATGAATAACCCATTACCCCCTCGTTCTCCTCTGCAGCAGAACTCCATCCTTTTTGACATGAATAGTGTTATGTAAAACCCCTTGCCAGGGTGATACATTCGACACAATACTGAGACGGCGAAATGAGGCACCGCGAGGGGACAGTATTCCCACGGAGATCCTCAAGCCTTGTGTCGACACGTGTGTTCTGACTATATGAGGTGGTTAAACAAGCTTGGGGAGACGACCCCTTTCCTGATGACTAGTGTTCATGCACCCTCGTGACTGTCTTCAAGAAGTGAGATAAAACAAAGTGAAATAACTACCGCAGCATAAGTCCCATACATGTTGCAGAAAAGGTCAATTCCGCATCAATTCCGCGCATTGCGAGTCCCCGTGGCGGAAAATGGAACTAGAGGTTATGCCAGCAAAAGTTATCACAATGATTAAGACTGCTCCACCACTGAGCTGCCTTTATCTACAGGAATCTCCGCCAATCGCTCCACATCTGGTCTAGCGTCCGACAAGGTTACATTATGTCGCCCAGCTTGTTTAATTATTTCATTGACTGGGATCTCGGAAGAGTCGTACGCGGTTTTGATGTCGATTTACACCCAGTGGCCGGCTGAACCTCTGCTACGCTAACAATATAACCATACGAGCGTCAAGCTTTGGTAATCTGCATAACGTGATGCATGCCTCATCAGCAGACGGCACCCGTCGTGATTGACAGCTGTCAACTTCAAGCAATGAACAGCCATGAATACCTGGAAGCAACATTTCTGCCCAGCACGCAGGGCAAGAATGACACCGTTTCCTGAGTCCATGTCGCTCACAGCCTTTGTAAGCTCTACGTGCATATGAACCCACCGTGATACTTTTATTGGCATAAGACCCATATCTACTGGAATATGCGCGTAGGAGACGGGCGAAAACTGCAAGTGTTTGGCAACGGTTGCCTGATAACCACCCTCTTACTGAAGTACGCCTAATCTGCCCCAGATAAAAATATCCACACTCGCTGCAACCGCCAGGAGAATATCTTAGGTCATCAAAAGACGGCCGAGGTAGTCTGAACACACTTTTCATTGCCAATCCCACGATTTCAGTGCCGCTGTAAACTGAGAGGCAGCAGGGAGAAAGTCAAACAAGAACCTGGTTCATATAGTCGGCCAAGACACAAAGGTAGTTCTTGGACTTTCGATATTAGGTTTCCGATGCGGGAAAAACGAAGGGGTCAAAATCATCAGATCCGCTACTGCAGATTTTCATACATAGAGGATTATGGTCGGGCATATAATCGATGATGGCAAGGTCAAACATGATAACGGTCATGCCAAGTACAAGCATCACACAAGTGGTCGCGGATTACTCATATAATCTATGATGGCCCGCGTTTAGCTAGCAGCGGTTTGCGTTTTTTATATATAAAAGTAGAGACAGTGCTTTACCACTTTTATTTTTGATGGAATCTATTACGACCGACTAAGCCGGTGCTACGTTGCCGATCCACGATAATGGTCACCTATTGAAGATGGTCGGCGGCAGATTCCCTAGTGAATTTGAGCCTGTTGGCATTTTAGTCTTGTAAACGAAAAGCTGCAGGGTCCTAAATCTGCTCTAGCATAGTTAGAACATGTTAAACCAGGGCAGGTAATTTGTGGAGGCCCTACCTTACCCTGCGCCGATGCAAACTATTCAACAACAGTAGGAGAAATCTCAAACAGTTAGAGTAGTCGCACCACAAATATGGCTAGCATACAGACGACCTACAATTGGAAATCGTGGAACGTGATGCACAGCAAAGGCCTCTGGTACAAATTACCGTGCTGTGAGGAATAAAAAGGAGTTGCAAAAAGAACGCTCCAAAACCTTTGTGAGTCGAATAATGGGAAAAACTTTCTGACAATACATCTTAAGAACAAAAAATGTCGGTTTAATATAGCAACGGTACTATCACATCTACGGCCGTTCAGAATGCCAAAAACATGCCGGCTACGTGAGTCAGCTACGAGGTGAATCTAGAGTTAGTCAGTCAAGGCGGCGAAACGTCATGGGTGACAGGGTTTCTGGCTAACAACTTAGGAGGCCGTGACACGTTAGTTGTAGTTCTCAATATGACTGTTAAAAAAGCTATTGCTCGACACTTACAATACTCTGAAAAATGATTGTACCGAAAGATACAAAGATAAAGCTAAGAACAGTGTATCAACAAACAAAATTAAAATTACCCTGTCGGAATAGCGCAGAAAAATTGTATGAAAGGGTCGTTGGGAGTCACCACCGAACAGTCTTTCTGCGTCGTAGAGGTAAAAATGCCTAGACATTGAAACAAGGGCAAACATATTCCTTGAGGGCAAGTACTCCAAAGCGCGAAATCGGTCGTCCGGGAGTTCAGATACAACACTGGCCATAGGAGTGCTAATTGCCTGATAATCAACGGAGGGAGACATACGACCGATAAAAGAGGACGATAAGCGCTCTGGCTGCGAGCTAACTTTTTCAGGACACGGTAAACGCCAGAGCGCCAGGGACGAATCTCGAGAACATGAGGCAAGGCAGGCATCATCAAGCCACCTGATGTCGAAGACACAATTTTTGTGATGTTTCTGAAGATGAAGAAGTGACGCGGATCAGAAAAGCACGTGATAAAGACAACATGCATTCTATCTAAATACAAAAACCTTTCTCGGTGGAAGTGGCTTCAAGTAAACGGCTATCAGCGCTCATATTTTGGAACTTTCGGTCAGAACAATCTCAAGGCGCAAGGTGAAATCTGAACGGCCGGGACAATGGCCATTACTCACTTTACTAACGGTAATTTGAGAAGAGGAATTCAGCCTATTCTCTAAGAAATGATGAACCTGACACTAAAACTCAGAAGACAGCGCACGTGATAATTGAGTCAGTGAGCTATCGCTAGTGAAACACTGACGACAATCAATACAGGGCGGCAAATAGCTGACGTGAAGGACGTAAGAATTGCCGAGCCACTTTCGAATTATAGGAAGCAAGGTCTTTGATAAAGCTCAGTAGTCATCGAAGCATTCTTATGTTCTACACTTGTTAGCCAAACAAGAAACGCGTGTTAGGGACGTATTGGGGAGAGGTATATTCTATGTTGCTCCTCCGGTCGAAGAACAACACAGAGGTATAACCATGACAGAATATAATAAGTTACCTGAAAAATACAAAAGGGGGAAAGTTCTGGCAGACTGTACACTCCAACTGTTGTAATGTTTTTGCCTCCGGTAGCCAAAAAAGTCTGTGACGGATTCAACTGAATAGCATGGATGCCAGAGGCACATTTGACTTCGGGATTACAAATTCTGAATACGTGAAACAGGTAAGGGAGGTTCGTACGTGCCGGTTTCTTCCAGTAGGGGAATAAGCTGAAGTTCTCTCGTAAGACAGTTAAGAAGCGCAAGGTGGTTGCATTTAGACCCCAAAATGACCTGATCATTTGAGAGCCACTGGGAAGCAAACACTTTGTCAAGTCCGTTCAACGAGAATCCTCTGCCTTCCCAGATGAAAGGCAACCTGCCACAAATAGCTTTGACATTGGTCGAGTCGAAACGACGACCATAGCCTGATTCGCGCTTGAGGATGTATGCCAAACACCGAACTTTTAACTAAATGGCTTTCAAGGCATTTCAGAAAAGGTAATATACCTTTTGAGTGGCTACACGAACATTGCGTCTTCGAACATTCATAACGCGAAAGGGGCGAAAAGGCCCTCGAAAAGCGCGCCTTTGCTAAGAGCTACAAACAAACTATAATCAAACCACTCTCAGCTGATTCGCTCTGTTTAAACCCATGGTACGTATCCAAAATCGTTAAGCTGTCAGCCAGTTTAGATAGCGTGTGGTCCTCTTCAATCTTTGTTGGTAATGTAATTTTTGACAGGTCAGGAAACGGAGAAATCGAGGAGCGGCTGCTTGAGGTTTTGACTAATGGACATAGACACTGGAAGATCCTGGATCAAGAGGCTCACGTTGGCGCACGCAGATTACGGATATGTAAGGCAGGTTTGTTCGAAGCACTCTGGAGCGGACAGGGTTGAGAGTGAGGAGCCCCGAAGTCTGAAGCATTAACTGTATCGAGTCATGAATAAAATATTTTAGACCACGCAATAGCCCGGAAAATACGCCTTGGTGGAGAGATTAAAGCCAACCTACGCCACCAAGGGCTAATCAGTACGCCGTTTCTTTTAAAGTTTACTTAAGGCTGCCCCGGGAACCCAGCACGACCGCGTTTGACAAACGGTTATCACAGGTGCAGCACGATGTTGAATGCGTCCGGTAAGACTGTTCTGACTCTTGATGACATGCGAGTAGAAAGAAAGTTGATTACGTTGCTGAGAAAATCGTTGAACTACGGGCTGATATAACGCAGGTTAAGGCTACAATGCCCGAAATTTTAAAGGCCATTCAGGAAATACGTCAGCCAGCTGAAGCGAGGCCTCCTTCACTGAAGTTGCCTCTGTGTACGAAGGAGGTTTACAAGGCTTTCGTCAGTGAGCTTGAGAAGAATGCTAGTTTCGCTCAAGACGCGGTATGTACATATACTGACGCTTCTTTATTTGAACGGATTGTAGATTAAACGTCTGGCGATTACAGACGGGCGAAACGAGAAAGAGTATGTCAGAAATCTACTAACCACTCTACTCGGCCACCCCCTATGCCTCAGTTTCTGCTGGGGCGGAGCAAGAGATAAGCAGGCCTTCGTCGGCAGCCCCCTTTATGGCCTTGTTATTGGTAGGATATTTATTTTTAAGATTACTTGTTCAGCTGCAATTCGTGAACACACCGCCTTCTCAAATTGCACCGTTGACACAATTCGCAAGAGTACAATTGATTGGTTCCACGGCGCGCGTGACAGATACGGTGGCCGATCAAAGCGGAGAGACAATACCACTGCAAATGCCACGGTAAATGAATTGACTTGAGTCTTTATAAGCCACTTTCAGCTTCCCGTCAGCTGCAGCTCAGCCGAAGAATATATGATACAATCTACTTCCGAGGACACTGTAAGTGAGCGTTTCTTTATATCTATTAAACCTGCATTTATTCCAGCCTATCAACTTCAAACTACTTCAGATCATAAAATATACTACTTAAATGCCTTATTTCAATAGTATGTTTTGACAATTTAATTAAAAGGACGCACTGCTTTCTTTTATTGTAGATACCCGCTACCGACATGGACGGATTACCAAATATGTCCCTTGAGGAAACATGACAGTTTGTACATATCAAATTTTTATCTTTATCGATCAATAAATTTTCTTTAACATATAAATTGCGTTCAAGTGTGCTGATCGATATGGTTCGTTGGGGGGTTCGCAATCACGCGTGAAGGTCCGCTAACTGTTGCGGGAGATATTGGCTTTGGGAAGGCGAGCCGGAATGAAACATGACATATTTGGCGAAATGGGGTTCGCTAGAAGGTAACAAGGGATAAAATAGGACACATACCGGGGAAAATCTGTCTAGGAAAAGGGTAGTCAGGATTATAACGCGGGTAATTAGACGTTAATGGATCGGTATTGCGTTCAGACAGTCTAATATGGCCGTGGATGGGGGAAAAAACGATAATTATAAGGCGTCCCCCTGCGCATTTTTTTGTCGATGAGGGGGCCAGAGGGGGCCACATCGGGGATTTGCCCCGCCATAGCCCCCTCTCCAGCCCCCTCATAGCCCCCTCTGGCCCCGCCATAGTCCCCTAATGAGGCGGGGCCATGAGGGGGCCAGAGGGGGCTGGTGCTGGCAGGGATGCCTGAGTGCTCTCGCACACAAATAAACCCGCCTGGTCCGTAGTGTCACTTCATTTAGAATTCGTTGCCGTATCCTACCTGTGGGTTACCTGTAAGTATTATGCCAACGAATTACGTAGCTTACCGTTTCCGCCTTCTTTTTCTTCTTCCTTTTATTCACCTATTTCTAAGTCCCTTTATCCAAGCCCCGCGAATTCCATGCTACGGTATATCTTACACAACAGGTGACGAACACTCAACCCCAGATCTCTTTAGGCCGTTAATCGTCGGATGACTAACTTTTGTCCTTTCAGAGACAGACAGTATGTCTCGTTAGACTCCGTATTCCAGATGTCAGGTCTCGGTCAAACAAGATGCCTTATCTCAGGCTGTGGTTTTTGCTCACTATTCAGACGATGTTCTATACATAATACAGGGAAACTACCTTCGTAACTTTTCGTATTTGTATTGGAAGGGTTGGTGGCAGAGCCCTTGATGACCCTAATGGCGCACAATGATTTCGCATATTGGCACTCCAAATGGGGGCAAACACATAGAATTTGTTCGTATCACAATACATCTGTAATAATAAGGAAGCGCAGCTGTTCGATGTGAGTCGGTATGGAAAGATTGCGTATGACAAAGGGTTTTACAAAGCTGACTGGGGGTAGTCACGTTGTAGAAGTCTGTTTGTGTCGAAGATTACGTGAGCAGTTTTTTTAAAAAAACATGCGCATTGTGTCAGTCGTCACCATCTCACTTAGTTTCGAGTTCCATGGTCGGAAAACACGTTGCCTGAAGGAGAACTTCCTACCGTCTACTCGCGCGCGTTCGCTCTTGACTTTGTAAGTATGATCGAGTAATTGGTATATACTGACAAACCCAAAAAGTCCTCCGTTCTCAGTGAACAATCTTGGCCACGGACGATCCGGAATGTCCAGTATGACTGCACTTTATTTGCCTATAGGATCGAGGGAATAAACCATGCATGTCCAGCCTGTGACGGCTCAGCGAATGCTTTAGACCATCGACCATCTTCGTTGCTCTGCGCTACACTTGTTCGAGTATGTTAATATTCTTCTTTGTCCATCGTGAATCTACTGGCATTTCATATTCCAGGCGGGGTCTTACGAAGACGCCGAAAACTCTTCCAAAAAGTTCGGGAGTAAATATTTAAAATTCACGTCGGATCCAGTGTAAAGTGCTAATTGCCTTCCTGCCGTTTTCTGACGGCATTAAATTTGCGGTCGTCCATACACCCAGATCTCTGTATCTTTCTACAGTTTTTAATGCCGTCGCATTAATAAAGTACTGATGTTTAGTAGAGACATATCGGTCGGTGTTTAGGTTTCGGACCAAGAAGTTGGATACATTAACCTCTAAAGCTATCTGTTTGAGCAAACGGTCAGTTTGCCGATATTCGATTGCAACGTCTTCGCGTCATCCTCGCACTTGACTTCACTCCATATTTTTACGTCATCAGCAAACACGAGATCCTCAATACCTAGTTCGCTGATGCAGTCATTCACATAAATCAGGAAGAGTTCTGGGCCTAAGACAGAACCCTGTGGGCCACCACTTTCCACCTTTATCCATTCCGAGGCAGAGTTACCAACGACGACTCTTTGTACTCTGGAGGACAGAAAACTATTGCTCCATTTAAACGTTCTTCCTTGAATTCCTACATCCCAGATCTTCTGTAAAAGAAGCCTGTGTGGGACATTCTCAAAGGACTTCTTGAATTCAAAAATATGAGATCCACTGGATAGCCCTTATCGGTAGGTCTTTTTTTCAGTTCTCGTGCGGGTATAGAACACTCATTAGGCAGCAGCGTCCTGGAAGTAATCCGTGGTGCATCACTTAATATTTTGTTTTTCCAGATATTCCACCAGATGTTTTTTTTTGATAATGCGCTCCCTTATTTTACACGCGATGCAAGTAAGACTGACAGGACGATAATTTTCGCAGCCAAGGCAGCAACCTTCTTCATGGATCGGAGTGATGAATGCAAACGTCCATTGTTGCGGGAGCTGGCCTTTTTCAAATGACTTTTGAAATATTGCAGACAATTATTCGCACAGTTCATTGACATGTTCTCTCGGTGCTAGTGCGGGAATTCTATTGGGCCAGACGACTTTGCAGGCTTCAGTCGGAGTAGTTCAACCCTAACTATGGTCGATGAATAGAGTGGTTCCTCGATTAAGGAGGATAGGGAGGGGGGGAGAGGGGAAGAAGAGTAGGAGGAGACATTGGTTGGCGAAGGGATGGAGGGGCAAATAAAGAATAAGGTTCACGCGCGAAGGCGGACAGAGAGAAATTTGAAATAAGGGACGCCTTAACCTGGTCATCAGTCTCTAGTTTTTCATATGCAGACTAAAGAGCAGGGATGATTTCCTGATTTTTTTAATACTCCGTATGTAGCCATATAGATATTTCAGATGTTCCAACGAATTTTACGTTATCTTTTATTCGAATTCCCTCCGCAGGATGAAGGCCTCACTTCTACATATGTTGCTTTGTTGCTTATATTCCCCCAAATGCTCTTGGGTGCCAGTTAGTGTGTAGCGCCGCCAAAGGCCTGAAATTTCGAGTTTATACACTTTGGGCGGTTCGTAATTGTCATTCTTCTGGGAGAACAATTGGAATAAACAATCACTTTCTGTAAGGAGCAGAAAGTCTTCCAATTGTCGTTTCTCCACCATGCAGTTCTGTCTCCCATGATAATGCTGACAGTTCCCTCCGCATGAGTGAATATTCCCCCTTCAAAATGTTTCTCTCCCACATGTCGGGCTGAACGGATTTGCATGACGGTGAGCAATCGAAGTAGAGCATAATTTGGTCGCTTGACTCTAATGCCGGTCGGTCCTGCAGGTCTAACGCATTTTCCTCCTCTCGGGTAAAAATAAGCTCAAGGCAGTTCGACTGCTGTTCTTCCCTGACCCGTGTTCCAAAGGTAAC